AAGGTCTGCTGTTAGGGACCTCTCCAAAGTACTGAAGGACAATGGTTTCTCTTTGGAGACTATGGTGCATTTGATACAGGCCATGGTCTTTGCAATCACTTGTTATGCATCAGAGAGTTGGACAATGACCACGGAGGATAGAAGAAGAATTGATGCCTTTGAGCTGTGGTGCTGGAGAAGAGTACTGAATATACCATGGACTGCTAAGGGAACAAACAGGTTCATCCTGGAGAGGGTTAAACCGGGTGGCTCCTTAGAGGCAGGGATTCTGAGGCTTCGTCTGACATACTTTGGACATGTTGTAAGGAGGGACCGGTCCTTGAAGAGGAACATCAGGCTTGGGAGGGTGGAGGGACAGTGCAGGAGAGGAAGGCCCTCTATGAGGTGAATTGATTCAGTGACTGGGGTAATCGGGATGGGTGTATCGTAGACAGTACAATTGGCACAGGACAGAGCAGAGTTTAGGGCTGTTGTACATAGGGTCACTAAGAGTTGCAAGTGACTCCACGGCACATAACAACAGGGGCTAGTGATGGTTTAAGGTCAGGGCAATAGTTTCAAGGGTTCCTTCAGCCTCTGTGGCTCCAGAAAGTCTGGATTCCATGAGTTGAAATTCCATTCTGCATCTTCCCTGCTTTTACATGAGGCTTATTCTAGAATTTTTTTTTTTATCACAATGCCCCTGTAGTGGGAGCAGGGCACCGTCCAGTTCTGGCTTCATGGTATAGGGGGTAGGTAGCTGGTGAATGTAGGGCCAATAGCTCAGTACCATCCACAGATTAAGCTGGAGAATCAGAAGAAAAGATGTCTTTGCAAAAGCTTCCCAACTTTGGGGTTATGTGATCAGAGAATCAGCAGGAAATGTCAATTGGGGCAAAACTGGGCAGGACTTTGAATACTGAGCCCAGACATTTGTATTTACTCTGAATGCACATCCTTGAGTGTGGCTGGAGTGTGGTTTGGAGGAGGATGGGCCCTCAGGGGTGGGCAGGCAGCATGCTTTGACCCCACATTGGTACAGCAGCCCTGACCATCCTGCCTCCCACAGAATCGCCACGAGATGCTGGCTGTAGAGCCCATCAACGAGCTGCTGAGGGACAAGTGGCGCAAGTTTGGTGCGGTTTCCTTCTACATCAGTGTGGTTTCTTACCTGTGCGCCATGGTCATCTTCACCCTCACGGCCTACTACCAGCCACTAGAGGGCACTGTGAGTAGCATGAGCTGGGTGGCAGTTAGGACAAGCAAGCACTACACTGGGATTGCACTAAGCTGGGATTGCACTAAGCCTAGGCATAGCCTGGCCCTCTGGAGTCCCCTGTGGCAGACTTAGCAACAGGGTGGGGGTGCCTCTGAGTGGGGAGGAGACCCCACCCCCAGCCAGGAGGGAGAGAGGAGGCTCCACGCTAGAGCTCAAGGTGTTGGGGAACATCTGGATGTGTGGCCTGATGTTGGTTGGAGTGGGTGAGGACCTGCGTGCTCTGCTTCTCTAGCCACCCTATCCTTACCACACAACGATGGACTACATGAGGCTGGCTGGCGAGGTCATTACACTCTTCACTGGAGTCCTGTTCTTTTTCACCAATGTGAGTGCTTTACCTGCTGGACACAACCCACCTTCTACTGCCTCTGTCTCCTTTTTCTTTCTGCCTTCTCTTCCTCCTGGTCTCTGCTTAAAGAAAACCCAAAACAAACAAACAAAACCCAAAAAACAACAACCCAATAAACCACCAAAACCCCCAAACCCACTGCTGTCGAGTTGATCTTGACTCATAGCGACCCTCCAAGGGGCTTTTGAGGCTGTAAATCTCTCTAGGAAAGAGATGGCCTATCTTTCTTCTATGGACTCAAACCCTCCATCTTTCGGTTACCTGCCTAGCACATAACGCACTATGCCACCCATGTTCCATTCCATTCCATGAACAACCTAACTAAAGGTTGGTGGTACAAGCCCACCCTTTGGGACACACAGGAAGGTCCTGGCAAGTTCTCCATTAAGATCACAGCTGAGAAAATGTAGGGAGCAGTTCGATCCTGTAGTACTCGGGCTCACCATGAGTTGATATAGACTCTAGAACAATGGGTTCAGTCTAGGGTTTGGTCTTTTCTTCCTGGAGTCCCTGGCTCACACATTCACCTGCTAACTAAAGGGCTGGCAGTTTGAGTCCACTTAAAAGGGAACATTGAGGGAAAGGCCTAGAGATTGGCTTGTGAAAAATCAGACATTGAACCCGCAGGAAACACAGTTGTACTGACACCCGTGAGGCTGTTATTAGTCTGGATAGACTTAATAGCAACTGGTTCTCTTTTCCTCTTTTTATTTCTCTGGCATCTTTCCCCCCCTCCTTCTCCAACTCTTTCCTCTCCTCTTTCTCTTTTCCAACAGGTCTCTGCATCACCCTGTATGTGCTCCCTCTTCTAGACCTTCCCTCCACCCCCTCTCTTCTCCTGACTCCTCGCTTTTTCGGGACCCTCTCCCTTCTCCAGATCAAGGACCTGTTCATGAAGAAATGCCCTGGAGTGAATTCTCTCTTCATTGATGGCTCCTTCCAGCTGTTGTAGTGAGTAGGGGACCCTGAGCCGGTAGCTCCTTGGGGAAGAAGGTGGAGCTGGGCTGGCTGGCCATTCAGCAGCTCTAACTCCTGATCCAGGATAAGACAATGGCCTGGCAAAAGGCTCTTCTTGACTAAGGTTGCTAACGGATGTATACACCAGCATGCATGGAAATAGGTTCAATCTCTTATGCTGGTGATTGATTGCTAATGTCTGTCTGCTGTGCCTTTCTCAATTGTGAGGCTGTGCTTGCATTTAATGGGAAAGAGAGCTGTGAATGATCAGTGATGTCTGTCTAGGGCACAAGCTAAGGGAGTTGGTGTGTGATACATTTTGTCTATTTCCCTTAGAATGAAATTTACTGAACTACAAAATTTCCACTGGACACCCTTGAAAACCTCTCTCTAGCCTCTTCAAGGGGTGTCCCTTTGGGACTTTTAGGGCCTCAAACTATCATTTGATAGTTAAATGAGGGTCTTGGACAACAGACTTCCAGGGAACCTAACTAATAATTCTCTTTATTTCTTTTTGAGGGCTGAGCAGGGGAGGGTCTGGGTGCCGGGGAGGGTTTGGGGGGTACGTTCCCAATTCCAGGACCTCATGGTGCCCTCTTCCTCTTGGCCCCCCTCGTGATTGTTGCTGTCCCATAGCTTCATCTACTCTGTGCTGGTGATTGTCTCGGCCGCCCTCTACCTAGCGGGGATTGAGGCGTACTTGGCCGTCATGGTCTTTGCATTGGTCTTGGGCTGGATGAACGCACTCTACTTTACTCGTGGGCTGAAGCTGACAGGAACCTACAGCATCATGATCCAGAAGGTACAGACGTGGTGGCGGGGTGGAGGCTCTGGGCCTGTGTATCCCTGCAGGGGGCCGCAGTTCCACAGGTATAGCTTCCCTGTGCAGATGGGGCTAGGGGCTGGTGGTGCTGCAGGGCCAGGATATCAGGAGCCAGGGTGGGCAAGGGTAGAGGTGGAGAGAAAGTTTAGGGTGGGAGCAGTGGGGAAAATAAGAAGGGACATGTCTCACTTTAACTTCTGTTACCCCTCTGGGGTCTTTAGATTCTCTTCAAAGACCTTTTCCGCTTCCTGCTTGTCTACTTACTCTTCATGATCGGCTATGCCTCAGGTAAGTTCTGAGTGTCCAGGTGGGGCTGGTGGGGGCAGGTGCCAACACGTGATGGCGACAGTAAACCTGCTTTGTTGAACTCTCGCTGTGTGCCCAACTTTTGCTGAATGCTTTACCACCTCTGCCTCATTTGATCTTTCTAAAGAGCCTGGGAGTTAAGTGCCTTTACTTAAGAATAAGTATCTCTTTGACAGAGGTGAACACTGAGGCTTTGAAAGGTTAGACAGCTTGCCCAAGTTCAAAAGCTAGTGGATGATGAAGCCACCCCAAGCCCTGTGGCTTAAAACCATTTGTTATTGCTCACAAGCAATAGCATGAGGTCATGAGCCTGGTTGGTTCAAGTGACTGAGACCAGGTTTGGGTGAACTCATAGCCTCTTGGTGGGTGAACTATCTAGCTGAGGCAACCTCATGGGGTGACTTTGATTTCTTCTATGTGGTTCCCTTCCAGCTGTTTGGCACATTTGTCCAAATTGTGGGGGTTGCAGGGTTCCAAGAAGATGATCTTAAATGGCACTACCATTTTTCCTTTCTAACAGCAAGGGAGAAGAGTTCCAGCATGTTTCCCCACATGCTCGCCAACATATGTTATTTCCTATTTTCTTTTCTGTTTATCTGCCCTGTTGTCGTTGTGTACCATAGAGTCAGAACCAATCCATAGCTGACCTTCTCGTGGGTTTTCAGAGGCAGAGGCAGTAAATGGCATGGGAGAAGATTGCTCATCTTTCTCCCTCAGAACAGCTGGTAGATTTGAACCATGTACCTTTGCCTTGACAGTGCAATTCCTTACCACAAAGCCACCAGAGTTTTCTAGTGAGAGTAAAATGGCATGATTTTGATTTTCTTTTTTTTTTTTATTTTGTGTGTGTGTACCGTCAAATCAGATCTGACTGGTACAGGAGGATATTGCGCCTCCTTCTCCGGCAGAGCGTCTGGTGGATTCGAACCGTGCGCCTCTGGGATTGCAGTGCAGTGTCTTGCCACTAGGCCACCAGAGCTCCCCCATGATTTTGATTTTCATCTTCCTAGAAGAGAAGGTATAGCCAGAATGCTCTTTGGAGCTGGAGAGTGAATAAGGAGACAGAAGAACTGGTGCCTTTGAATTATGGTGTTGTAGGAGAGTACTGAATAGCCCCTGAATTGCTGAAAGAGCAAATAGATATGTCTTGGAGAAAGCCAGAGTGCTTCTCAAAGGCATGCATGGATGGCAAAGCTTCATCTCACGTATATTGGACATGTTGCTGGGAGAGATTATTCCTTGTGAAGGGACATCATGCTTGGAAAAGTGGAAGGTCAGTGGAAGAAAAGACCCTCAATGAGATAAGTTGACACAGTGACTGAAGCAATGGGTTCAAGTGTGTCAGGGATGGTGAGGATAGGACAGGGTTCAGATCTGTTGTTCATAGGATTGCTCTGAGTTGTACCTAACTCAATGGTACGGAATAACAACAAAAACATAACTGGGTAGGTTTATTTTTAGACTCTCATTTATATTCCATTGGTCTATACCTCTATTTCGGTTACATTTTCTGACTGTTTTGAGTACTGTGGCATTGTTGTTGTTGTTGTTGTTGTTATTAAGTGCCGTTGAGTTGTAGGCGACTCATAGCAACCCTGTGAACGAAAGTCCTTGACACTTACATAACTTTTATCCTTTCCAAAGGTTCATAGGGTTTCTGGAGGCAAGTTATTTACAGAAGTGGATGCCACTCCTGCTTCCAAGCATACCATATATTTTAAAATCCGAAATTTTGAGTCTTCTTATTTTGTCCTCTTTCAACATTGTTTTTGCTATTTGGGGACTATTGACATTCCTTATAAAGTTGAGAAATGGTTTTTCATTTTTCTATTGCTGTAAAGGAAGCTGTTGGAATTTTTTTTATCAGAATTACATAGACTCTACAGTTCCTTTGGGGTAGTATTGACATCCTAATGATATTAAGTTTTCCAGTCCATGAACATGGAACATCTTTCCACTTAAGTTTTCTTTAATCTTTTAAGCAATGTTTTTGGAGTTTTCATTGTATGACTCTTTCATATTCTTGGTTAGATTTATTCCTAGATCTTTTTTATTCTCTTAGATGATGTAAACGGAATTATTTCCCTTGCAGATTTCTCATTGATGGTGTTGTTATTGTGATGTGTCATCTATTCACCTGTGACTCTGTGTACAATAACTCTCAAGCCTGTGCTGTCCTGAGCCATGCTCATGGATTCTGACATGCCTACCCCCATTGCCCTAGTTATTGTATCGATCTATCTCATCTGGGGTCTTCTTCTCTTGCACTGTCCCTCCACCCTTACAAGCATGATGTCCTTCTCTAAGGACTGGACCCTCCTGGCCACTTGGTTTCACCCTCTCCTAGACAGACCTATTTGTTTTCTTGGTGGTCCATGATATGCTCAAGACTCATCTCCAACACCACAACTCAAAGGCATCAATTCTCCTTCTATCATCGTTAGTCATTATCCAGCTCTCTGATGCATAGCAAGTAATTATGAAGACCATGGGCTTTGCATGGACATTGCTGGTGTGCAGGAACACAAACAATTTTTTGTTTGTTTGTTGACTTTGTGCCATGCAATGTTGCCACATTCCTCTAGTAGGTCTTGAAGTTTTCTTGTGAGCTCTTTGGGAATTCTCTGTATGGAGAACCATATCATCTACAAGCGTGTTGGAAGAAGTGCAGCCAGAGTGTTTCTTGAAAGCAAAAATTATGAGATTTCCTCTCACATACTTTTTGGCATGTTATCAGAAGGAAGCAGTCATCGTGTTTGGAATGGTGAAGGAGAGGAAGACTCTTTTTTTTTTTTTAAATTTTGTGTGCGTGTACCGTCAAATCAGATCTGACTGCTACAGGAGGATATTGCGCCTCCTTCTCCGGCAGAGCGTCTGGTGGATTCGAACCGTGTTCCTCTGGGATTGCAGTGCAGTTTCTTGCCACTAGGCCACCAGAGCTCCCCTGGAGAGGAAGACTCTTAACGGGATGGATTGGCATAGTGACTGCACCAATGGACTTAAGGATGGCAGAGATTGTGCAATGGCATGGGGTTGGACAGGGATTTGATCTGTTGTACATAGGGTGGCTATGAGTTGGAGTTGGCACCTAATATCAACAACAGTCATCAACACATAGAGGTACCCTTATTTCTTCTTTTCCAATCTGAAATTCTTTCTTATCTTACTTACTACTCTGGCCAGGACTCCTAATAATGAATAGAGTAGTAAAAGTAGATTCTTGATTTTAAGGGGAAAGGCCCCAGTCTTTCTCCATTAAGTATAATGTTGGCTTTTCATATATGTCTTGAATCTTATTAGGAATTTCCCTTCTGTTCTAGCTAACTTTGGAGTTTCATCAAGATAGCATGTTGGATTTTGTTGAATTGTCTTTTTTAAATGTATGTATGTTGTTGTTAATTGGCATCGAGTCAGGTGCAACACATAGCAACAAATTTGAACCCTACCCTATCTTGTGCTGTACTCAGCATCTCTGATGTACTTGAGTCCATTGCTGCAATAACTGGGTCAATCCATCTCTTTGAGGGCCTTCCTTTCCTTTACTAACCCTCCACCTTTCCAGGCATGATGTCCCTTTTCAGGGAATAGCCTCTCCTAGCAACGTGGAGAAAGTATGTGAGAAGAAGCTTCATCATCTGTTCCTCCAAGGAGGGCTCTGGGTACACATTTTTTCCAAGACAAACCTATTGGTTCTGTTTGCAGCCCATGGGATATTCAATACTCTTCTCCAACACCACAGCTCAAAGGCATTGATTATTCTTCTGTTATCCTTATTCACTGTCCAGCTCTCAGATACATAGCAAGTGATTGAAAAGACCATGGCCTGAAACAAGTGCTCCTTAGTCTTTTTTTTCTTTCCCCAGCCCCCTTTTTTTAATTGGGAAAAACATATTGGGGGTACAAGGAGGTGAGGGTTGGGGGCAGAAGGGTGAGGATGGGCCAGGATGCAGTTGCAGAGCTGCACAGTTTGGTCGGTGGGGGGAGCAGGTGAAGGAAATGATGAGGGTCCAGTGGGGACCAGATGCTACAGAGGAATGACAAGCATTTTCCAATGGTAATTAAACCAACTGTCTTATTGATTTAGGAACCGGATGCTGACTCTCTGGCTTCTTCATGCTGAACAGGGCCGTAGATGTAAAGGAGGGAAGGGAGGACGCTTTATCACCTTACTGGTGGTCTTGGGTTAAAGCTGCTTGCCTTCTTGTTCTGTTAGAAGACATTTTCCTGTCATTTGCTCCCCTCTGGACTGCAAAGTGTTTTCCCAGGTGGGTCCAGTGAGGATGGCTGGTTGAACCCAGAGGCTCCATCCTCCTTTGCTTCCTTAGCTGTCAGTTGTATTTCCTTTTTGTCACTAGCACTGGGTTCAGGGTCAATTATGGAGAAAAACTCAAGAATTACGGTTACCTATAGGAAAGGGAGCAAACCTAGAGAGAACAAACTTGTGAGTTACAAATAGAAGGGCTTTGAGGGTGTTGCTTTCAGGTTTACTGGGGGAGAGGGTGGCAGATGGTGGTCTAGACAACATTCTCTGCATACCCTAGGCATTCTTTTTTTTTCCCCTTCCCCACCCAGGGGTCAGATGGCACAATCTGGGGACTGAAGAGCTCACCCTGAGGGCCACGACAGCTTGCCCCGAGCCAGGGGCCGAGGGCAGCCCGCCCCGGACAGAGGTCCGCGAGCTCCTTAGTCTTTAAACTGGCATTACTGAGATAACGATATAGTTCTTTTCCTTTGTTCTATTGAAGGAGTATATTATGTTGTTTGGGGTTTTTTAAATCCACATCTGATCATTGGAATGGTGAGGGGCTGAGTAGTGTTATGTTTTGTTCTGTTATATATTGGGCTATACTGTGAGTCAGGGCCAACCTTTAAGGCAGTTACAAGCAACATAGCCTATGAGTTGAAATGTATTCACCACCTCTGGTTGACAGCAGTATGATTCAATGACCAATGGGTCTGAGGCTATCCAAGTCTCCTCATGGCACTTTCAGGTCCTATTGTTACCATGTTGAAGACTTGGAATTGTCATCTGTGCTTAGTAGAAAGAGATAGGGGTTGAGGTTAATTTTAAGCATTTGAAAGGGTGAGACCATTAGAGATCACAGCTTCTGAGACAGTCAATTTTCTTCCATTCATGCTTCTCACATTCCACGTTCTAATCACTAGTGTCTGTTTCCAGCTGTTCCTCCCTCTTTATATTTGAGATCTCAGCCTCAGTTGCCATGTCTACTAGTCTAAGTGTGCTCCATCTATCAGTATAGGTTTCTCTCTCTCATACACACACACACACACACACACACACGTATAAGAAATATGTTTAAATACATATGTATACCATTGCTGATATCAGATAGATATTGGCTGAAAGCAGAGAATATCGGAAGAATGTGTTTTACTGACTATGCAAAGGCATTTGACTGTGTGGATCATAACAAGTTATGACTAACATTGAGAAAAATGGGAATGCCAGATTTATTGTGTTCATAAAGAATCTATACCTAAACCAAGAAGTTGTTGTCTGAAAGGAACAGAGGAAGACTTTATGGTCTAAAACAGGGAAGGGTATGTGTAGGGGTGTGTCCTTTCTCCATACCTATTCAATCTATTTGTTGAACAAATAATTCATAAATCTGGACTCAATGAAAAGGAATGTGGCATCAGAATTGGAGGAAGATTCATCAACAACTTGTGCTATACAAATGCATAATCATGCTTGCTGAAAGCAAGGGGGACCTGAAGCACTTGTTACAGAAGAAAGACTACAGCCTTCAATACAGATAGCATTTTGGGGGGGGGTGCATAAATCAATGGTGATTTATTCAATAAAACACAATGTATGCGACTGATCACATCAATCACCACTTGAATGAAGGACTGTGTGAAACACAATGTAAATTAATTTTTTATGCAAAAATGGATAGCATCTTAATGTCAAGAAAACAATGTCCTTACTACTGGGCCAGTGAGAAACAGCAGGATAGATGGAGAAAGAATTTAAATTGTTAATGATTTCATCTTGCTTGGATCCACAGTCAATGCTCTGGGAAAGTCAGGGACCTCTCCAAAACACTGAAGAGCAATAATATCAGTTTGAAACAAGTGTGCCTGATTCAGACCACTTGTCTTTTCCATTACTTGCTGTACATCTGAAAGCCGATGACACAAGAATTGATACCTTTGAGCTATGGTGTTGAAGAGAACTGAATATCCCATGAACTGCCACAAGAACGAACAGGTATGTCTTGGAAAAGATGCAGCCTGGAGTGCTCCTTGGGCATGGACAGCAAAACTTAGTTTCTCATACTCTGGACATGTTGTTAGGAGAGGCTATTCCTTGGAAAAGGATATCATGCTTGGAAAGGTGATGGGGCAGTGAAAGAGAGGAAGGTCTCCATTGAAATGTGTTGACATGGTGACTATAGTCATAGAGACATTGGACTCAAGTGATCAGAGATGGTGATGATGGCACAGGATTCAATTTGTTGGTTTTTACCTCCCTTTTCTTGTTGTGTACCATCGAGTCGGATCCAACTGGCACAGGAGGAGATTGCCCCTCCTTCTCCAGCCCAGCATCTGGTGGATTCGAACTGTGCACGTTAGGGATTGCAGCACAGCTTCTTGCCACTAGGCCACCAGAGCTCCCTTGGACAGGAATCAGATCTCTTGTTTATAGAGGTGCTATGAGCTGTGTTTGACTTGATGGGCGTAACAACAACAACAACAACAAATATATATGTGTGTATGCCCATTGTTATTGAGTTGATTCCAACTCATGAAGACCCTCTGTTGGTCTTCTGAGGCTAGGAACCTTTATGGAGGAGACTGCCCATCTTTCTCCCTTGGAATTACTGATGAATTTGAACTGACAACCTTTAAGCTGGCAACCTGACACATTACACACTATACCACCAGTGCTACAAACGTGTGTACACACACATACACGCACACACACACACACACACACTCACCCTCTAAAGGAGATTACTCACGTGCTTGTAGAGGCTGGCATGTCTGAGGTCCATGGCATGCATCTGCAGAGGCTGAGGAAATAAAAGACTGACAGGCAAGGCAGGCCACTGGCTCAAGTGCAAAGAAGCATAGAGGTGAGGGGCCAGATGCAGGATCTTGACCAAGCAAAAAAGCAAGCAAGGATGACCAGACTTCCTCATATGGTTGGTGCAGACCACACTACCTTCAACCGATTGTCTGTTCATAGCAAATCCCATTGGGTGAGAATTACACTGTTTTTGTTGTTGATTGTTGTAGAGTGGAGCACGACTCACAGTGACCCTATGAACAAAAGACCTGAAACCTTTCTATAACTATCGTCATTTCTCAAATTTCATAGAGGTTCCAAAGACATGTTGTTTAGGAAGTGGATGCTTCCAAATATAAGTATGATAAAAAGAGGTCAGTCTAAATCAACATCAGTTCTAAAGAGTCTTTATTTCTGTATGGAAATAATATCAGAAGAATATTTTTTCCATAATTGAGATACAGTCATACAAATCCACATAAGACAACAAGCTGACTAGAAATAAACTTCAACAAGAAACACGTTGGGAGAGGTGCCCATATCTGATCCCAAAGATGAATCTACCTGGTAAACAGACTTCTAATAGATTTGAATGGACTTTAGATGGCATAGTTCTTGCATTGCTGACCCAGTGCCCACAACACCTCTGGAGGTTCGAATCCACCAGCAACTCTAATGGAAGTTTCTAGCCTCAGAAATCCAGTGCAGGGTCAGCTAGGAGTTGGCTCCAAATCAACAGCAATGAGTGGGTGAATGAATACATCTGAAGATAGAAAACTATTAGAAAGGATAAGAGGTTATATGCCATTTTATTTTATCATGAAGCGTCATTGATAAAACCAAATGAGGAAAACCAACTATATCAGACTTTATCAAGGGGTTGTTGTTAAGTACTGCCACATAGGAACTGACCCATAACTGACCTTCTGGCAGGTTTTTAGAGGCAGGGAATCACAAGGGTGATTGCCCGTTTTTCTCCAATGGAGCGTTTAGTGGATTTGAACACCGTGTTTTTAGGGTTTTAGCACAGCTCCTTACCCCTAGACTCCCAGAGCTTCCTTCAAGGGGAGGACCAGACCATAATTACCAAGCTAGAGGATCGTAGGCAGCTCAGCGGATATATAACCTTAGCCGTCACAGTTCAGTGAGGCCTGCCTGTGGAAGGCATGGCTTAGACCTGCTCAGTTTTGCAATATGTAAGGAGTAGATTGGGCCTAGAAACAAGCATGCACAAATGGGGGAAAGGTGGGTGCCCCGTGGAGACGAAGCAGGAACCATGGGGCACAGAGAATACAAGAACGGAAGCGAGAATGTCCCTGCAGAATGGACAGATATCTTCCCTGTGATCCGACCCCGTGAGTTCAGACTTCTAGCCCCCTGTGAGAGAATGAACTTCTATTTGTTAGAGTTGCCTGCTTTTGGTATTTCAGCAGCACCAGGGACCAAGACATATGATCAGCACCTTCTCCGTGTACTTACTGTGCTGTGGTGGCACGGTAGTTAAGTGCTCAGCTCCTAACTTAAAGGTCAGAAGTTCGAATCTACCTGCTGATCTGCAGGAATAAGATGTAGCCATCTGCTTCCACACGGCCTTGGAAACCCGATGAGACAGTTTTATTCTGTGTCACAGGATTGCTGAGACAAAATTGACCCATGGCTACAATCTAACCTCCAACCATTAGGTGGCAGTAGCATCTCTCTCCCTGGGGTGACACTCAACAATGTCTCCAGACTTGAGGACCATTAGACTAGATTCTGTACACTTCTTCACCAACACATTGCACTGGGAAAATCTGCAGTTAGGGACCTCTCCAAATTATTGAGGAGTAGTGATGTCAGTTTGAAGACGAAAGCGTGTCTAATTCAGGTCATAGTAATCAGAAATGATTACTTGCTATGTATCTGAGAGCTGGGCAGTGAATAAGGAGGGCAGAAGGAGAATTGATGTTTTTGAGCTTGGTGTTGGAGAAGAGCACTGAACATCCCATGGATGGCCAAGAGAATGAACAGATATATCTTGGAGAGGGTACAGCCTCTTCAGAGACGAGAATGATGAGACTTGCTGCACATACTTTGAGCATGTTGCTAGGAAAGGCTGTTCCTTGGAGAAGGACACGATGATCCACCAGGTAAACTGACACGGTGACTGCTGCAATGGGCTCTTTGTGTGTCAGGAAGTGTGAGGATGGCGCAGGATAGAACAGGGTTCAGATCTTTTGCTCATAGGGTCTCTATGAGTCACACTAGATTCCATGGCACCTAACAGTAACAAAAACCACATGCACACTAGAATCAGAAATATCTGATTTTGCCTCTTGACTTGTCCTGCCAACAGGATAATGTTGGGTAATGTTGGGCCAGTGCTCACCCCTCTCTCGGCCTCAGCTTTCCCATCTACAGAATGGGAGTAATGCCGTTCACTTCAATACCACTCAGTGCCTGCCAACCCCTGTACTTCCCACAGCCCTGGTCTCTCTCCTGAACCCTTGTGCCAACATGAAGGTGTGCAACCAGGACCAGACCAACTGCTCGGTGCCCACCTACCCCTCGTGCCGTGACAGTGAGACCTTCAGCACCTTCCTTCTGGACCTCTTCAAGCTGACCATCGGCATGGGTGATCTGGAGATGCTCAGCAGCACCAAGTACCCCGTCGTCTTTATCATCCTGCTAGTCACCTACATCATCCTCACCTTCGTGCTGCTTCTTAACATGCTCATTGCCCTCATGGGGGAGACGGTGGGCCAGGTGTCCAAGGAGAGCAAGCACATCTGGAAGCTGCAGGTGAGTGAGACTCTGGCATGCTTGGGTGAGGGGAGGTTCCCTGAGCGCCCACCCTGACCTTCCTCTGCGCCCAGTGGGCCACCACCATCCTAGACATTGAGCGCTCCTTCCCCGTGTTCCTGAGGAAAGCTTTCCGCTCTGGCGAGATGGTCACCGTGGGCAAGAACTCAGACGGCACGCCAGACCGCCGCTGGTGCTTCAGGTAAGCCAGGTGCAGCTGAACCTGGGGAGACTCTGGGTGGTGCAGACAGCAAAGCGCTTGACTATTAGCCAAAAGGCTGCCAGTTCAAATCCACCCAGGGCCACCTTGGTAGTCTCGTTGCTGAGAAGGCCCAGTTTTGAAAACCCGATGGAGAAATTCCACTTTTCACTCATGGGGGTGCTGTGCACCAGAATGATGGGAAGGTAACTTTTTAAAAAATATTTTTATTGTGATTTTAACAAAAGTTTACAGAAAACTTGGATTTCCATTCATTCATTCATTATCGCACATTTTCTTTCCTACCCCCCCCCCAGTTTGCTTTTCTCTTTCAAAAATTCATTCATTGTTGCACAATTGCCCCCTCCTCAGTTCACTTTGCTATGCACCTCTTACTCAGTATTGTCATGCACTTAATGCCTAATCATATATTCCTTTTAAACAGTTCTTTCCCTCATCTGTTTAAATGCAGGGTTTATTATTTATTCCCTCTTTTCTTAGTTTCTCCCCAACCCCCAATATCAGTCCTTTTTATAACAGTGGCGTTATGCAGTATTTGTCCTTTTCTGACTGTGATATTTCACTCAGCATAATGTCCTCCAGGGTCACCCATTTTGTGTAGTATTTTGTATGAGTTCCTTGTTTTTCAGTGCTGCATAGTATTCCATTGTGTGAATATAATCACAGCTTCTCTATCCATTAATTTTTTTATGATTCAAATTATGTAAGTATATTTCATAAAGCAGATGCAACAAAATGAAGATACTTATAAAGCAAATGGTGGCATAATTAAGTTTTTTGTTTTAAATTTTATTTTATTAATTTTAATGAACATTTACAGAGATTTTGGATTTTCGTTCATTCATTATTGCACTTTTTTCTTTTGTTGATGGGCACTTCAGTTGCTTCCATCTCTTTGCTATTGTGAACAATGCAGCAATAAACATAGGTGTGCATATATCTGTTTGGGTGGCAGTTCTGGTTTCTTTAGGGTATACTCCCAGTAGTGGAATTGCTGGGTCAAATGGTATTTCTATTTCCAGCTTTTTGAGAAAGCACCATACTGCCTTCCAGAATGGTTGCACCATTTTACACTCCCACCAGCAGTGAATAAGAATTCTGATTTTCACACCTCACCAGCATTTGTTGTTTGCTGGAAGGTAACTTTCAGCAATGACCTATCATATCAATAATATCAACAAGGAGATGTTGGATCAGAGAAACTGCCTAAGGCTGAGCGAGGTTTAGATCTGTCTTGGTGGAGAGTGGGCACCTCTGACCTTTTGCCCTGACCACCTCCAAAACCAGGGTGGACGAGGTGAACTGGTCCCACTGGAACCAGAACTTGGGAATCATCAATGAGGACCCAGGCAAGAATGAGACATACCAGTACTACGGCTTCTCACACACCATGGGTCGTCTCCGGAGGGGTGAGTAGAGGATAGGGTGCAGAGGGAGGGAAGATGGGCACAATGGGGAGCCCCGGGCCTTGCTCATCGCTAATTCTCTTTGAGCAATCCTGTCCCCTCTCTGAGACTCAGTGTATACATCATCTGTAGAATGAGAATGTCGAATGGCTGGCTTCTAAGCTTCCAGGGATGCTTGTGAACATCTGGAGAGCACGCCAGTGGGGTCAGGAGACAGTGGTGCCCAGGAGACTAGCATCCTCCACCTTCCTGTGTAGGAGAAACCCCTGGTGCCTTCACTAAACCATCAGGAAGGGGGAAGGTTGTGGATACTCAAGTCCTCCAGACCCAGCCTCCAATCCCAGCTCTTCTCTGCTCTCCCTGTGTGTACCTGCACAGGTGCCTTAACCTCTCATCATCATCCTCATCATACCCCCTTTAGGTCACGGTGGAGCACCCGGTACACAGTGGGTGCTCATTACTTGCATGCACTCTCTGCTCCCTCCATAATGCACAGATCGCTGGTCCTCTGTGGTACCCCGCGTGGTGGAGCTGAACAAGAACTCAAACCAAGATGACGTGGTGGTGCCACTGGACACCTTGGGAAACCCCAGCTGTGACGGCCACCAGCAGAGTTATCCACCAAAGTGGAGGACTGACGATGCCCCCCTCTAGGGTGTGGGTGCCTGCAGCCCCACCAGGTCCCTCCGCCCGACCCTTTCCAGTCCACCTGCATTTCAGCCACACCACACTTCCGCCTTCCCCTCAGGTGAGGTCTGGGTGGAGATGTCACAGAGGCTCCGGACTCTTTGATCACAGTTCTGTGGATGCTCTGTCCACAGCTTTTGGCTGCCTATCTCACTCCCATGGAGTCACTTTAACCAGTGCCAACACTCCTTCAACCAGAGAGGCTCCCACCTGGCCCCCACTTCAACGTTATTTATTTGTTCAGCTCTCAGGAAAGCAGTGTGGTCTCCACCCCCAGCTAGGGCTTCAAGACCCCTTTCCAGAGGTGCTGCCCAGCTGAGCCCCAGCCACAGCATATACTCCCAAGGGCAGGGGCTGGGGTTGAACTTGGTGCGTTCAATAGACTTGTCTATGCTCAATAAATGTTCACTTATTTGATGTGGAGATGGTTGGCGTGATGACAACAGCCACTGGAGCACAGCAAAGAAGGGCTGATAATGCCTGTAAGGATGGGGTGAGGAACCAGGCAGACATCAGGACCAAGATGGTGTTGGGGGTGTTTGGCGGTGGTGAGGGTACTGGGCTGGGAGTGGTTTTAATGGTGGTGACTTGAGAGATGGGTGTAAATGGAGTGGTGATGGGAAGGAAATAATGAATGGGAAGGAAAGGAGAGACGCTGGTGGGGAGATGTTGGTGAGGAGACAGTAATGGTGGTGAGGAGATGGTGGTGAGGAGACAGTGATGGTGGTGAGGCGACAGTGATGGTGGTGAGGAGTCAGTGATGGTGGTGAGGAGACAGTGATGGTGGTGAGGAGGCAGTGATGGTGGTGAGGAGACAGTGATGGTGGTGAGGAGACAGTAATGGTGGTGAGGCGATGGTGGTGAGGAGACAGTGATGGTGGTGAGGAGATAGTGATGGTGGTGAGGAGACAGTGATGGTGGTGAGAAGATAGTGATGGTGGTGAGGAGGCAGTGATGGTGGTGAGGAGACAGTGATGGTGGTGAGAAGATAGTGATGGTGGTGAGAAGTCAGTAGTGGTGGTGAGGAAACAGTAATGGTGGTGAGGAGATGGTGGTGAGGAGACAGTGATGGTGGTGAGGAGATGGTGGTGGGGAGATAGTAATGGTGGTGAGGAGATGGTGGTGAGGAGACAGTGATGGTGGTGAGGAGACAGTGATGGTGGTGAGGAGACAGTGATGAGGAGACAGTGATGGTGGTGAGGAGATAGT